CGCATATGAAATGTTTTTGTCCAAGCAAAACCCATACTGACAATCACTCAAAATGTTGTTTGCTTGAAGAAATGTAACTAATTGATCTTTTACTATTCTCTCAATTAACTTAGCAAATACACTCAAAATAGATATTGGTCTGTAATTATTCATATTGGCAAACTCATTTGATTTATAAAGAGGAAAAACTTTGGCAAGTTTCAAACATTCAGGAAATCTACCGGATGAAATGCTTAAATTTACTATATGTAAGAGTGGTTTTTTAAACAAATGGAAATTGGCTTTCAGGACTTCGGCTGAGATACCATCGTAGCCAGGTGCTGACCCACCGCGTAGACTGTAAATGTATCGTTTCAGTTCGGATTCAGTGATTGTGTGAAGTGTAAGTGTGCAATCATGGGCAAAGTCAATGTCATTCACAACTGGGTCCCCACTTGAGTCGATAGAGGTTGCTAAATTAGAGCCTACAGAGGAGAAAAAATCGTTGAAGTCATTTGCAACTCTTTGACATTGGGCTGGAGATATTTGGTCCGCTGGAACAAACTTATCAATAGGAAAGGAATCTTTTTTACATTTTCTGCCAGATATTTCATTAATTATGCCCCAGAACATTTTAGGGTTGTTGCCAGTCAAGTGTAGTTTATTTCTATAATAATTTCTTTTTGTCAGCTTCAAAGAAAAGCTTAAACTATTTTTGATTTCTCGGTATCGAGTAATAAGTTTGTTATTAAAAGGCTGCTTTTTGACTTGTTTACTTAATTTATCTCTTACTCATATTTGATGTATTAAGTCTGACGTTATCCACGGTTTTAACTTTTTGAAACGAGATTTCTTGTTATAAGCAAACTTACTAGCCGCAGCAACAGAATTAGAGATGATTCTGGTAAAATGTTCGGAACAGAAATCAACATTGTCATGACAAGAGGTTATGGGATCCCAGTTGGAATGCGTGAGGAAGTGTGTGAGTAGTGCGTGGTCCAGGTGTGTGCACATAGGTGGGTCATAGTGACAGTTCGGTGTCCCCAATGTGATAGTGATCCCGGTGCTGTAGTGGTCGGTAACATTAGTCTGTAACACAGCCGACTGTACACTCTCCAAGTCTTTGTATTTGATAAATAAGGTACTTTCCTGTTAAGGGGAACATTCATTATGATCCATGATTTTTTCTCGATATATCGATATTTTTGTTTTCCTTTACGATACATTACAAATTGACAGCTGATCTTTAGGCTAAAATATAGTCTATATGGATTAAGAATTGAAACTGTTCTAAGCTAACCTAACATAACCAACCAAACTTGCTGTACCATTTAAAAATTCCGTTTGATAACAGAAAAGGCGATTGGAGAATATTAAATGGAGTTTTTAAATGTTACAGCAAGTTTGGTTAGTTTTGTTATGTTAGTTTAGAACAGTTTCATTTTAATATTTTTTTACATTAATGTTTGTTGATTCTGAACAATATTTATTTATCGTAGTTTGTCAGCTGAAATGTTTTAATTTGTTAATATCGATATATCGAGAAAAAATCATCGATAATAATGAATGTTCCCTTTAACAGGAAAGTACCGATAAATATGTGGTCTAGGCATGTTGCTGTGTTTTGAGTCACTCGTGTAGGTTTTCCAATGCATTGTGTAAATCCCGATCCAGTTAAAATGTTTAAGTACCTATGTGTGAGAACATTCATGTTTAGTATGTCAATGTTAGCGTCTCCAAGATAAATAACCATGTGATCTTTATTGATATTAAATAAGTAAACCTCAAGGTCATGTAGGAACATTTCAACATTACAATCAAAGGTTTTGTAAATTGCTAATAGATTGAAGTGTTTGTTGAATAGAGAAAATTGTAATGAAATGCCGTAAACGTCCCCAATGGTAATTTCAGTAGCCGTAGCAGACAAATGTTTGTTTATGTAAACAATAACCCCATCGTTCTGATTGCAATAAGTAGAAGTGTGATAGCCACCCCCTCCCCTCCAGACAGCCAGCATTCTGTAAAAACAATTATGTCAATTCCTGAAATACAATTATTGAGATATAAACACATCTCATCAAAGTTTTTCTTGTAACTCCTGATATTTGAGTGAAATATACTAATATAGCTGTCACCAACATTACGCTTGTAAAATGCAGAATATTCATCAGTAGAATTATTAAGGTTTAAACAGTTTAGTTTTTCATGAAAATGAAATAAATTGTTATCATCGCCATCTGTGTGCATGACAACTGTCACAGTGCCCGCTGCCAGTCCCGACCTATGACTATTGTTGTGTGCTATTGTTAACATTGGAGAGAAAAATAAATAAAGAATGCATAACTTACATAAACATAAAATTACAATCAATGGCTAATAAGTAAATGATTGCTTATCTTAACTAGCAGAATTTATAAATTTATTATTTTAGAATTTTTATTATTTTTATTAGCAGAATTTTATAAATACATAAATGAAAAAGTAGCCTATATGAAAAATAAATATTTCTTTAAATAAAATATGAAATATTTAGGTTAGCTTCAACTAGCAAATTTTATTATATCTCTAGTAAAAATACGAATACTGTAATAGTTTTGAGAATTTCTCTTAAATGAATAAATATGCTGTCCAACATAACTAGCAATTTTTATATAATACTAATAATAATAAATAAAAATAAAACTATCGATATTTTTCTAGACGTGAAATAAATATTTTGATTTGTTTTCAGCTAGCAATAAAAATACAAACCTAATATAAAAATAAATAAGAATTAGTGCATTTTTTTCTGAAATAAATAAAAATAGCTTAAGTATATACAAAATAGATTTAACTAGCAAATATTATAATAAAATAAATAGTAAATTAAATGGACCATTATTCCTTTGGGTATTGAGTCATGCAACAATAATCATGCATTTTAAGGGTAATAGAGAACAGAGTGATGCGGTAATAGATTGCCGTGGTATTAGACTGAATAAAATAAATAAATAGCTATATAAAAAATATAATAAAATAGATGGATAAAAGTCAATTACATGCATAAATACCTAATTTAAGTTTCAATGAATATCTAAGATACATTATTTGTTGAAGACGTCCAGTTCATGCTGTGCAGTGATCCTGATGGCATCGTCGTGTTCCTTGGGTTTAATGAGAATTTTCCCATTGGTGTAGCCAGTCTTGTGGATCTTCCCCTCCCGCTGCATCCTTCTCGCTCGTCCCAGGAGAGTCTTATTATGTATGGTCAGATGATCGTTGATGTAGACATCACTTGGCACAAGACGTCCGTTGATATCTGTAGCATTTAGATTTTTCTTTTTCTCGCAGCGATGAGCCACATCTCTTTGGTGCTCCTAGAAACGAACTGCGCAATGATAGGCGCGAACGTGTGATTTTTAGAGTACTGGCGCAGTCGATGGGCGATGGAAACATCCTCTCTCTTGAAGTTGACTCCAAGGGCAGCGGCAATGTGTTGCAGAATGACGTTTATATTTTCATTTGTAGTCTTAGGTGTACCCAGGACCTCGATGTTGGCGCAGCGTGAATGCTGGTCAGCGTCGTTCTGACTAAGCTGCAGCGCGCGGACCTGCTCGACAAGCATGTCATTTGCTTTTTCCAACTCACTGCAGCGTTCCTGTAAAGCTGACTGGTTTAGCTCCAAAGAAGAGACTTTGTTGTTAAATTGTGTGTAGTTCTGTAGTTAAATTGTCAATTCTAGACATCACACTTCCTACAACAGAGTCGGTGTACATTTGGATTTCTGTTTTAAATGAGTTTAGTATTTCTATCATAGTGTTTTTATCCAAAGCTGAACTCACGCTTGTCTGTAGGGAAGCAGATGAACCTGACGCAGATGTACACTTTTCACACTTCCACTGTTTAATTTTAGACTTTGTAAAGTTTTGATGGGATCCAAACTGTGTGCACGCTGGATGATATCCCGTCTTGCACTCAACACATTTCACTGACAAGTCACTCTGCACAACGTCACCTCCACACTGTCCACACGTAGACACCATAATAGTTTATAAATAACAATAATGAGGTAAATTAATAAATTAATGTAAGCGAATTAAATAAAAGTTCAGCACAGATATCCTAATTGGTAGATAGCAGGTTGCGGCCTGAGACTGGCAGATAACCGGTTCACTGATAAGCGTCCTTCCTCATCGACGTCTGGACGGCAACTGCAATTATTTAACCAATTTTTCCTTAAAGTAACTTTTCTATTGGTTTTACGAACAGGTAGCCTTTTGTTCAAAAAAATAATTGCAAGAGACATAATACTCTACTTTTGACTCCACTTATTAATTACATAATATTATTAGTTATAGATTATCATTTTACAATAGGCTTGCTGATGGTCAAATCGTTATCAGGCCAGGGCCTTGGTTCTGTTGTGGCCTGATATGATGGGTTCTACTGTTTTATATTGTTTAAAAACATATCTAAAATAAATGGCACAGTGCTTTTTTAAGTACTCCTCTAAAACGGCTTCATGAATATTTATGAAATTTTGTGTGTGTATTCAGTAAATATGAGTAGGACTTAAGCTATTTTAATTTGTCATAATATTCTACCTAAGGGTAAATAAGGATCAAAGTTCTGGTAGTTACACAAATAAGTTGTTAACAACAATCATTTATAAATATACAGTACTTAAAAAATTGTTAAGGGCCTAAAAGGGAAATTGTAATTTAACTGAACAGTTTTTAATAGCTGTTGGTAATAATATTTTCACAAGGATTGCTTTCAGCAACTGAACAGTGAAAGCCAGTTGATCAGAGCAATCACATATGATGTTTATTTATAAAGTAAGAAATTAAAACGTTCCCCTTACTTTTAACATACTTATCTTTTCTGATAAGGACATATCACTAGTTTTAGTTACAGCCTAAATCAGTATCAAACCTAGTAAGTAAATCATAACTTTGACATGCCAATATCAATGATTTGTAGAATCCACATGGCAAATGAATAAATAATTAGATTTTTTGGTCATTACTTGATTTTTACAGGTATTTTTTATTGACTATGGAAACTCCATCAAGGCGATGCCAGAAAGTGATCTAAGAGGGATTGTGTGTGTGGACGCTCAAAGAGAATTATTAGACTCAATTCCACCTCTGGCAGTCAAATGTGTCTTAGCTGAGGTAACCATTTGTTATTGCATCATACTATATTGTTATAAATGTACGGTAATAATTTTTACTTTGCCCCCCTTTGACTAACTCTAGACATGACTATGGTGAGAGTATTGTTATCGTCAAAATTTCTTTATAAAGGACTTTTCCTTTCTTAAAAACACAATCTACCTCTCAAAATCATCCGGAAAAATTCCTGAATGCTATGATAAGATTAACAAAAAAATGTATGTATGCAGATATTTTAAGATATATTTTTGTTGATGTTTTTTGTATACGCTTTTTGATTGTTGGTAAAAAATTATGATTGTTATGTAATTTGGAATATTTTTGCACGGAGGAAGTCTCTAGTGTGGAAATTAAAATAAAGTATGAATGGTGTGTTTTTAGTAGTCTCCACAGCAATACTCTGTTTACTCCAATGCTTCTGTGACCCCAGTTACTGTTAATCAACCCAGTTGAGGCAGATGTGGTAGATTGATTTGTCCTAAAACTAAATTGTTATTTGTAATATAGATTAATACTTTCTAAGAAATTGGTCAGACAATAATTGATTGTTTTTTCAAATATTTTGGAAAAATTTTATAAAATAGAAAGAGGTCTTTATAGGGGTTTTCATTCTATAAATTGGTGTAAAATACCTGCATTTATGCGATCTTGTTTGTAGCTGAGTTGCTACCGGTTTCAACTCACATTGGAGTCATCTTCAGGCAGTTAAGATGTCTTCTCGCTTCATTCGAAGGTCGTCAATACTCAATAGATAATAAATAAATAAACAAAACACAAACACGTACACGGACATAAAAAAGAACATTTAAGGCTATAAAATACTGAAAACGGTAGGCCTACGGGACACGACACAACGTGATCGGGCGGAAGTTATGTCTAGACTGCCGGTCAGGATCAACATGGTCAGTGATGACGTTGTGCCTAGATTTCCCGATCAGCTGATAGTTTCATTCACAACTGTCCCTAGCTCCAGTATCTTAATAGCAGTGTCGTATGTAATTTGATTGGAACGAATCTTGTCGTTGATGATGTCGAATGAAGCGAGAAGACATCTTAACTGCCTGAAGATGACTCAAATGTGAGTTGAAACCGGTAGCAACTCAGCTACAAACAAGATCGAATAATTGCAGGTATTTTACACCAATTTATAGTATTTAAATGCGATCAGGAGGCTAAAATTCAATATAATGAAGGTTTTCATTCCTTTCTTAAATATTGGTTTTACCTCAGTTATTTTAAGCTTATCTGGGAAATTACCCGTACTGAAACTGAAACACTCATTGACTATTATATATTAAAAACTGGGACTATTAATGTTTCTGACATCTTTATGAGTTTTGTTGGGATCTCATCTCAGCCAAGATGGCCGAATTGCTTAAACTTACATATTATTTCACAAAATTCTGTGGCCTGTGTTGGATGAAGGTAGATCTAAAAAATCTGGGTTACAGTCTGATTGGCATCACAATCAGTCACAGGACGTGTTGGTGTTATCATACCTAATGATCAAATGTCTCAACAAAATAGTGGTTAAAATGATATTCTATCTTATATGGATCATCTAACAAGTGACCATCAACCTCCAGCCTGTTTTGGTTCGTAATATTGCCTACAAAAAACTTGGTCACCACAAATTTTTGATCCCGGTGGGTTCCAAAAATCTTGACAGACAGACAAAAACTGAGAATTGCTGCACCACTATCTGGAAGACCAAACAAAATCAATGCACAACTACTCTGCCTTCACTCATTACAGTAAAAATCCCAAATCTGGCAATACATTTTTTGTGAATTTCTGCAAACAAAAATCTGATCACAGAGCCTACCTCAAAAATGACAGGAACGTGCAATGGCAGCCCTGTTTTTATCACTTTATTGCAGACTAAGTACAAGAGATATGATACTCACATTACCGTAGCTGGATGGGAACTGAGCAAAGGAACCTTTGACTATTCAAACAACTAGACATTCCATCCCCATGATAAAGTTTAAGCCAGTTATAAAATCAAAATGTTTGAAGTTAATGTGAGCCACCGACAGATTGCGCTGATGTAAATTACTGATTTATGTCAAATACACAAATTTTTTACCAAGTCAAACTGATGGAACAACTTATTGTGACCTAAATTAACTGTTTTGACCGATGCAATATATTAGTAACAACAAATACGTTATAAATTGAATTTTAGACACTAGGGCATTCTGTGCCTGGCTCACACGACTACGTTCTTTTTAAATACAAAATTGGTGACAGCTGGTCCGTATAGATGGGATGTTAACTAAAAGCTACTTAATAAGTTTGGATTTAGGTTGCCCCCAATGCACTTCACACCGCCAAAGGAGGTTTCTGGAGTGACGAAGCCAACTCCTTTGTCAAAGGAATACTGAGCTCTGGGAGAAATTCTTGGACCACCAAAGTGAGTCAATATTCATGAATCAGTTTTTGTGAAATTTTAAACTCTAGATATACAGGATGACAGGGTGATCAACTCAAAGAGGCCACCATTGGGATATCGGAAACGGTAAGAATTAGAGAAAACTTTAAATGGGGGACATTCCTTTATTTTTTGTGGCAGTTAAAAATATGATTTTATTTTTTCGAAATTCAGTCGCCATTTTCCAAAATGGCAGCCAACTTTGAAATTTCTTATGGAACACCCATGTTTTATGATGTTTTCGGATAGAACATGCAATTTAAACACTTTTTTATTCTTGACATTTTTCCGATAAACCCACTCGTTTAGGAGTTACAGCCTATGGAAAAATGACTTCCGGTGTACATTTTACATTATGTAGCTCCTAAACAAGTAGGTTTATATCGAAAATGCGAAGAGTAAATAAGTCAAATAAGTCTTAAAATTGCATCCACATTCCATAAAGACCATAAAATACACAGTTTTCCACTTTTCAAGTTTGCCGCCATTTTGGAAAATGGCAGCCATTTTTGAAATAATAGAATTAATATTTTAAACGAATTTTGTGGTCTTTTTGGGACTTTAAAACGCCTGCAAAAAGTCAATGCAATACCTGCAATACAGGAGTGCGTTGTTGCGTTTAGTTTGTGAAGGCGTTCTTATTTAATACATCCATTACATGTAAATACTGCTGTAATTGTTTTATAATTTTTTGTTTTGACATCACAAATGGTGAGAAGTTCTGTTAAGTGTAAGCAATGTGTGACATGTTTTAATGTACTGCATATTTTTAACTGCCACAAAAAATAAAGGAATGTCCCCCGTTTAAAGTTTTCTCTAATTCTTACCGTTTCCGATATCCCAATGGTGGCCTCCTTGAGTTGATCACCCTGTATACCAATATGCAACTAAACGCCACAACAATTTTTAGATAATATACTGTTGATGATAAGAGCAGAGTTTTGGTTTTTTAATAGCATTTTAATTTTAAATTTTGTGTGATTTACTCAAGATTACGTAACGTAATAATATTCTTGTGTAAATACTGGTAGTTCTTTGGTTTAAGGTATTCCTTTGATTTAATAATACATTTGTATAATAGAATTAACCATTATAAAACTTACCATCCAAATTTATTAATAACAAACTATTATTGATTTATCGATAAGAAAATGTTTTGATAAAACTGGTACTGATTTCAATATTTGAAAAATCTATTATCAATTATTGATTCCAATACTACTTTTTTATTTTACTAAATTCTCAATATGAATAGGTTTTATTGTATACTACCTCAACTAGGGATGGTCGGGTCTCGAAATTTCAGGAAATTTTTGGGAAATTTTAAATCTTGTTCTACGAGACGAGATTTTATTTTGATGGAGATATTTTTGAGGTGAGATAAAAAAAAACTTTAAAACGCCTGCAAAAAGTCAATGCAATACCTGCAATACAGGAGTGCGTTGTTGCGTTTAGTTTGTGAAGGCGTTCTTATTTAATACATCCATTACATGTAAATACTGCTGTAATTGTTTTATAATTTTTTGTTTTGACATCACAAATGATGAGAAGTTCTGTTAAGTGTAAGCAATGTGTGACATGTTTTAATACTGTAAACATATCCAAAACAAGTCACTCCAAAATCATTCAAAAAAAAAATACAAGGCTGAAAAATTTTTACTTGATACTTAACTAGTAAGACTGATGTTTGTAAAGAAAAAAAGAAACTCTGACTTATATATTTAAATATATACTACTCTCCTTGCAATGATCTCAAATGACTTTTTTCTTTACAAATCTTGGTTGCCCCTGGGTTGGAAGAACAAAGTGAATAAAAATAAACAACAGAGCGTTGACAGTGGAAGCTTGATGTTAAATAAAAATTGAGTGGGCCCTGTAGAATAAAATTATTCCCAGAGATCCTTAGGGGACGTCCCTGGTACTGTTTGTATTTCTTCCAGTGCTGAAAACAATCTTAAATCTACACTGTTAGTTTTGTTTAAGGAAAGGCTCTAGGCCAGGATTTTAAATTATAGGAAAAGGAGGATAGCAGCTAGCTTACCTTGAAAGTAAACACTGTGCACACAATATTTCGTCCCTTAAGCCCTTTAGGGGACGAAATATTGTGTGCACAGTGTTTTTTCTACTTGTTGTATGGCCTACCCACGCTTTCAAGGTAAGCTAGCTGCTATCCTCCTTTTTCTACAATTTAAATCTATACTGATTCTACTTTACGCACTACCACAATAATTTTAGTGCTGCACTTCAATGTGAATCTTTTGTAGTGGCTTCTTACTTGTTACTTGCTATAATTACCAAACCTCTATTGAATGAATTTGTATAATACCAAAAATGAAATGCCAAGGTTATTAAGAATTTGATAAATATATAACAATTTGATTTATTCAACAATACTTTTATCAACAGAGCAACAATACAATTTTTTTTACAATTTAATCTTGATACTGAAATGACTCGAACAAATATTTTAAAATATCGATACTAATTACTCAGAACTTGAGTACAATGGCCATTGATACCTTTCTTGAAAAAAGTGCGAAACCAACCCCTTGGTAGGAGAAGTGATTGACGCGGTTACAATTAAACTACGACAATGACGGTGAGGTGTGAAATTTAATTTAATATTGAGATGACCAACACTCACTAATCCTTCTCGTTGGCCAACGAATATTAATTGAAGATCGTGTCTCGTAGTCCAACTTGTTACACAGTATAACTGTTTGTAACACAGTATTTCCCTTCTCGAACTGATTTTACTTTCACTCGCGCGGCAATTATATCCCTGCGGGATATAGGCTTTACGATTTGATGAAAATAGAATTTGTCCAGCTAACACCGCAAATGGAATTGATTTACACGACCCGATCTTAAGCTCACCTACTACCTTGGAGAGGACAGGAAGACTAGTGAACGTCCTGGGCTAGAGGCTCTCTCCCACCACTCGTAGGACATAGTGCATTGTGGGTATCGTCGTCCATTGTCTGAATCAGCTGAATAGGTCTCGCGTTTACTCATATTTGATGTCTATTACATAAAATTCAGTAGGCTACATGTTTTAGACTGATAAATTTGGTAATTTTCAAAGTTTGACTATTAAAATTTAATACTTAACTAGTAAAACTGATGTTTCAGTTTCAGACTGATAAATTTTGTATTTTTCAAAGTTGAACTATATCATAACTGATATCAATTCAATTCAATTTATTAAACATTTGCAAGATTGATACTGAAACTTTCAATAATTGGTTTACATTGATAAAATGAGAGGATAGAATCAGACATACATAGGTAGGATAGTAGACCTACAAAAATACCAAATTTATAAGTCTAAAAATTCAATCTCACTAGTAAAGGTGTGTTAATCTCACTAGAAAAGGTGTGTTTTCCTCCAACTTCAGTAACCGCGCTGCGTGCTACGCGATTAATCTAAAGAAGGCAGAGTGGCCAGGAACAGCGTGATTAAAATTTTACGCTGCGCAAAAGTGTTTTCCTAGAAATCCGGCAATGCCTTGCGTAACAAGCAGATTCGCGGTTTCCACAGTAGTGTTCTGCTATGGATCGGAGAAAGAAGAGTCTTACTTTTATGTTGTTGGTGGAAGAGGAAGAGATGGACGAAGATGTCGACATAGTCCTAGCTCTACAGTCCAAGAGTCGAAATTCCTGAAGTGAACTGTTTAGATCTAGGAGCCATGAGGGTGCTTTTAGTATTCTTATTAATAGGCACCTGATAAACAATGAAGTAAAATTTAAGGAAACTTTTTAATTTAAGGAAAGTCGATTGCGTTAACTTTTTTGCCCTATCCCACTCCAAAGCTTGTCCTTCTTCAAGTTATTTTTAAAATCAGGATGGCTCATTTTCTACAGAATTTCAAACTCGGACACACAGTCAATTAATAAACTGTCATCATCAACAGTGAACTTGGTAACATCGCTACAACTTATCGTTTTCTTCATATTTCCAATGTAAACAATGGCCCAGTTCGGCAGCGTGGTTCGCAACTGACTGCTCTCGAGGCAGTGGTCCCAATCACACTGCGCAGTTGGTGGTTAGTCGCGCACCGCGCCCCTAGGAAAACAGTCTCATTTGTTTAAAAGGGATTGGTGGTTCTGGCAACCGCGGAGCACGGAGCACGCAGCGGAACAGGCTTAATCGCGTCGCTAGGAAAATGCCGCTTAAGGTATCAAGTAAAAATGTTCCAGACTTGTGTTATTTTTAGAATGATTTTCGAGTGACTTGTTTGGCTATGTTTACAGTAGTAAAACATGTCTCACACTGCTTACACTTAACAAAACTTCTCATCATTTGCAATGTCAAAAAAATTATAAAACAAAGTATATTATATTAATTATATTAAAGTAATATTTTACAAGCAAAGAATTAATTAAATAAGAACGCCTTCGCAAAGGAAACGCAACAACACGCTCCTATATTGCGGGTATTGCATTGACTTTCTGCAGGTGTTTTTCGTATATGGATACTGACTCCCTCATTAATCAAATCATTTTTTGATCACCACTGAATGAAATCGCAACTCGATGCATCGAATTGAATTGAATCGGAATTTCAATGCATTTTTTATGCATCGCACACTTCTACTAAAAACTCTTCTTCTAATTGTTGAGTTTGATTTATTTGTTGTTGACAAGAAAGTAAAAATATATTGATCTGTTTGATCTGAAAAACCTAAATTAATTACTTGTGAATGCAGTTCAGTAAAGACAATGTTTGTAATAATGTTGTCGATACAGGTTGCACTACTATCAGTAATTCTCGTTGGAGAATCAATGCAAACAGATAAGCCATATGATTTGAGAATTCCTAGTAAAACCTTCTTATTGTTACTCTATTGACCTTCTTTAGCTAAAGTATTTAAGTTGAAGTAGTCCAGGAGCTGAGGGGGTTTGAGCATGCATGAAAGTAGTACGCAATGTTATTGCTGATTATTGTAATATGGACTGTGGTGATCAAAATTACGTATGTC